CGGCTCGGTATGGCCGAAGAGACGTGGGCTGCTTAAGCCACGCAAAGACTTAATCTGGATTAAAGGCAACCAAGCTTGCCATTCGCTAGGGCAGTGATTCTCAACCTTTCTAATGCCGTGACTCCAAAATACAGTTCCCCATGTTGTGGTGACCCCCAAGTGGGTGTGGCCACCAATAAGAGGGAGTAGGACAGCTAGGGAAAAGGGAAAAAAATGGCGGACAGCATGGTTTGGTGACCCCCGTGAAATGGTCATTTGACCCCAAATGGGGTCCCGACCCACAGGTTGAGAACCACTGCGCTAGGGTGTTGTTTTTTTTTTCCAACCAGCGGGTAAAATAGGTTGTGTGAATGCACTCTTAACACACACACACACACACACACACACACACACACACACACACACACACACACGAACACACCCACCCACCCACCCAAAGCGTTGACTTCTTTACTTTTGCACCAGGAAAAAAAGGCCTGGCTGGAAGAACGAGTGGGGTTTGCTGCACTATTTGGGGGGCGGGGGGGTCCCTTCACTCTGCTGACCCCCCATCCAGCTTGCAGTACCCGCCAGGCCCACTGGGGGCAGCCAAGGAAGGCCGGGAAAGATCCAGAGGCCCGCTAGGGGGCACCATAGAAGGCGCGAACAACTGCCCGGAGGGCGCCAGGTTGCAGAAAGACGCGCTCCCCCCCACTCCCCGGGCACCTGAAGCGCTTTTGCAATTAGGAGGAAGGCAAGTCCGGACTTGCAAACCCGGACGCGTCATGGGCTGCAACCCCGCCGGCGCCCAGCAGAGGGCAGCAGAGAGACGACGCCCCCAAAAACTCCCTCTAGGGTTGCTGTGCCCACCCCCCCTTTTTTATTTTGCATCCCCCAAAAATGCAAAGTTGCAATATTTGAACCCGGTTTTCTTCCACCCAGCTTCTCCCAGAATTCCTAGCGGGCCCGGCGGAGGATTCTGGGAGTTCCCAGGCGGAAATTCGCCGGAAGCGGCTTGGCAGCCCGGCAAGGCGCCCCAGGTGTAGGTGATTAGCCTAATTAGCGTATGCAAATGAGCCTGGCGGGCAAGCGAAGCGCCTTCTTTGCAAAAAAGAAGCTGGGTAAGGTTTGTTTCCCCTTCTGCGGCCCGCAAACTCCGAATCCTGGCTTGTTTTTTTCCCCAGATCAGCAGGCCCTAAAAAAAGGGGGGGGAGGTTCCCTGGGTTTCAGCCTCGCTTTGGGGATGAGAAATCGGGTGCAAGAATTCCGGGGTCTCTGCAGGGCGCGTGTTAAATTCGGAGCAAAGGGGTTCATTTCCCCCCTCCTCCAATTCCTTATAAATGGAAAATCATGGTTTGTCCTTGTACTAGGCCTTACTGGTGGGGGGAGGGGCTGGAAGAAGAAATGGAGGAGGGGGTTCTGCTCTCCCTTCCCCCCCCCCGCCGTCCCTTTTCTTTCCTCCTCCCTCCCTCCTTCCCTCTTCTCTTTAATTCCCATTTTGGTTCTTCCCTCCCTCCCTCCCCACTCCCATCTCCTTCACTCCGTTCCTTCTCCCCTTTTCCCCTTCCCTTCCCCCTTCTTTTCTTTCTTCCTCCTCCTTCCCCCTTCCTTCTTTCCTTTTCATTCCCATCTCCTTCCTTTCCCCCTTCCCTTCTCCCCTTCTTCCCTTCCCCTTTTCTTCCTTCTCCTCTTCCTTCCTTCCTTCCTTCCCCCTTTCCTTCTCCTCCACTTTTTCTCTTCACTTCCCCCATTCTTTTCCTCCTTTCCTCTTCCTCCTTCCTTCCTCCCTTCCCATTCCCATCTCCTTCCCTCCCCCCTTCTTTTCTTCCTTCTCCTCCTTCCCCCTCTTTCCTTCCCTCCCCTCTTCTCATTCCCATTTGCCCTGTCCTGTGTTTGTACAATACCACACCCCCAAGTGCTTAACCTGGTTAGTTCAAGGTCTGCGCTCTCCCTTTGCAAAGGCGCAGGCCTCAGTGAATTGCATAAACCCCGAATGTTGGTCACTTTGTGATTCCGGGTCTTGTGCGCACCCAAAAAACAAATTAGTTCACAAACCAGATTCGCATCTGGTGTGAATGCAGGTGATTCCAGGGAAAGAAAGATAATTGCTTGGGCTTTTGTCTAGAGCAGTGGTTCTCAACCTTTTTAATGCCGCGACCCCCAACCGGTCGTAAGTCGAGGACTACTCAACTGGTGCAGCACCGTTTGCAGAATGGGACTTTTGGCGGGCTCAGCAGGGCAGAGACAGCCTGGACAATTCCTATTGGCTTTGGAAAGCCAATAGCATGAGACTCTATTCAAGAGAGTCTCTTCTATTGGCTTTCAAAAGCCAATAGAATAAAAGGGAGGAGCACAGCTAAGGAAAAGGGGGGAAAAATGGCGGACTGCGTTGTTTGGCGACCCCCATGAAATGGTCGTTCGACCCCAAATGGGGTCCCCACCCACAGGTTGAGAACCACTGCACTAGGCAAACTCAGTGGGGAAGCCGGATTCACTTAAGGACCGTGATTCGCTTAATAACTTGTAAAGTGGGGCAAAATTCACTTAGCGACTGTCTCACTTAGCAGCTGAAATTTTGTGCTCAGTTGTGGTAGATTGAGGACTTCCTGCGTCTCCTTTCTTCCTGACCGCCAGATATCAACATGACACCCTGAAGGGGTTTATCTGTGTTGTATTTAATTTGTCTCATTTTATGAACTGTGGGTAGTCCTTGGCTTACGACCACAAATGGAGTCCAACATTTCTTGCGATGAAGCAGGACATTTCTTAAGGGAGCTTTGCTCCATTTTACAACATTTCTTACCACCGTCATTAAGCGAACCACCGAGTGGATAAGTTAGTCACCTGGTTGTTAAGTGAATCTGGATTCACACCCGTTGAAGTGCGCTGGTCAGAAATTGGCAAAAGGGGATCACGTGACCTCTGGGGGGGGGCTGCAACCGGCGTAACTACATGCCAGTTGCCAAGTGTCCGGATTTTAATCACGTGACTCAGGGGGACGCTGCAAGGATCGTAACGAGGAGACACGGTCGTAAGGCACTTTTTTCCAGTGCCGTTTGGTCACTAAACAAACTGTGGTAAGGATTAGCTGTATAGATAACAACAACAACAACAATAATAATACAGTTGGAAGGGACCTTGGAGGTCATCTAGTCCAACCCTCTGCACAGGCAGGAGAGCCTATACCACTGAGTGCCCAAGAACTGCCCCTGTCCCCCCCGCGCTGCCTGCCCTGCCCCCACCCCCTGTCCCTGCGCCCTGTCCCTGCGCCCACCTGCCCGCAGGGCCACCCACTGCCTCCACAGCCTGCAGCAGCGCCATGGTGGCCACGCCCTCCACCCATGCGCCGCATCATCTGCATGCGATGGGAAGTGAGGGCGGAGTCTTGTCCCCGCTGTCCGGCTGCCATGTCCTTGGCTGCACTGCTCCTTGTGGACCATGCCCGGGGGCGACTCTACTTTGGGGGGGACTGCGGATGAGGAGGGGGCCGTGGGTGGAGGTGGGGCTGGGGGGACGGCAGGCGTGCCCACAGAGAGGGCTCTGAGTGCCACCTCTGCCACGCATGCCATAGGTTTGCCGTCACTACCCTGCACCATTTCAGACAGGTAGCTGTCTCTTCTTAAAAGCCTTCTTGGAAGGAAGGAAAGGAAGGAAGGAAGGACAGAACAGAATAACAGAGTAACAGAATAACAGAGTTGGAAGGGACTTCGGAGGTTATCTAGTCCAACCCCCTGCTCAGGCAGGAAATCCTAGACCATTTTCAACAAACGATTGTCCAGTCTCTTCTTAAAAACCTCCAGTGTTGGAGCAGCCACAACTTCAAGGAGAGAAGCAACCTAGAACTAAGGGGAAACTTCCTGACAGTTAGAACAGTTAACCAGTGGAACTCCTTGCCTCCAGAAGCAGTGAATGCTCCAACACTGGAAATTTTTAAGAAGAGACTGGACAGCCATTTGTCTGAAATGGTCTAGGGTTTCCTGCCTGAGCAGAGGGTTGGACTAGATGACCTCCAAGGTCCCTTCCAACTTTATTATTATTATTATTATGGATCATCGCATAGTCAGCCAGATGTTCAGACTGGATTGGGCATTTTGTCTACCTATCGAGTCCTTACCCAGGACCTGGGATAGGCAGATGTGGATGTTTGATGGTATTACAGATATCGTCGCAGGATGGAAGCAGTTCCTAATAAGGCCGCCTTTTGCAATTGACTAATAGCGAATTTGTCAGTGCCGATGATGGTGTTCAAGTGGTGCTCCAGTTGTTTTGGGATTGCACCCAAGGAGCCTATGACTATTGGTACTACCCTTGCTTGCTTTTGCCACAGTCTTTCTATTTCTATTTGTAGGTCTTTGTATTTTGTTATCTTCTCCAGTTCTTTCTCTTCTATTCTGCTGTCTCCAGGCACTGCCACATCCACTATCCAGACTTTTTGTCTTTCTTATCGACAATTGTTAAGTCTGGGGTGTTATGTTGCAGGTGCTTGTCTGTTTGAATTCTGAAGTCCCAGAGCAGTTTAATTTTATCATTTTCTAGGACTTTCTCTATTTTATGATCCCACCAGTTTTTGCTTACAGGCAAATGATATTTTTTGCAGATCTTCCAATGCACCATTGTTGCTACTTTGTCATGCTGCTGCTTGTAATCAGTCTGTGCAATCTTCTTGCAACAGCTTACCAGGTGGTCCACTGTTTCTTCAACGGCATTATTATTATTATTATTATTATTATTATTATTATTATTATTATTATTATGGAGGCAAGGAGTTCCACTGGTTAATTGGTCTCACTGTCAGGTTGCTTCTCTCCTTGATAAAAATTTCCATCCGTTGCTTCTTGTCCTGCCTTCAGGTGCTTTGGAAAATAGCTTGACTCCCTCTTCTTTGGGGCAGCCCCTGAGACGCTGCCCCTCTCCGCTTGAAAAGACGATAAAACAGCAGGATAAAACCTTAGGATTTAACTTTCCTCGCCTGCTTGGGAGTTTAAAAGAGATTTAATCGGCCGAATGCCTCTTGCTTGCAGATTCGTGGATCCACCTGGCTGTTTTTCCTGGACGGAGAGCTTTTATCGTCCCAGCATGTCGCAAGGATCCCAGACGCGGGAATACTTCCCCCCGGAGGTTTTCGAGCAGCTATGGGACATCTTGGAGCAGTAAGTGGGACAAGGGGACGACAGGGCAGCCGTTAAAAATCCATTTCAATTCAGGACAGGTAGTCCTCGATTTAACGACCACAATCGGGCTGGAGAATTCACTGGTTTGATTGAGGAAGACATCGTATGAATGTGCCTGATTTCCCCCCCCAGGGTCACTAAGTAAATCATTAATGGTCGTTAAGCGAGGCATCCCATGACTCATGGAAACCGGTTGGGAAGGTGGCAAATGGCGATCACAGGACCCATGGTGCTGAGTCAACACCAGTTGCCAAGTGTCTTGATTTTTTTTTAATCAGGTTACCGTAGGGACGCGGCCACGGTCGTAACTACGAGGACCGATCCTAGGCAACTTTTTTCCAGTGCCGGCATAACTTTGAACGGTCGCTAAATGAGTATTTGTAAGCTGAGGACCGCCTGTAGGGTAGATGTCCTGCCTTTGAGAAAGGCCTTTGAAGGCGGTCCTCGGCTTACGACCTCAATGGTGGCCAAAATTTCTGTTGCTAAGGGAGACATTGGTTAAGTGAGTTTTGTCCCATTTGCCCCAGTTCCTTGCCATGGTTGTTAAATGAATCACTGGGGTTGTTAAGCGAGTCATGTGGTTGTTAAGTGAATCCGGCTTCCCCCGTTGACTTTGCTTGTTGCAAAAGGGGATCACGTGACACTGGCACGTTGGAACCGTCATAAATGTGAGTCGGTGGCCAAGAATCTGAATTTTTTTTTATTAAACGTTTTAAAGATTTTATACAATATATATCCCAAATCCCTCCCCCCCTCCCCCACTTCCCAGAGCTGATTACAGGGTTACAAATAAACAATCATAATCTAACTAACCTTACCCAACTATACAAACAATCAAATCCATAACATACTTTAACTCCTTTTCAAAATAAATATTAACAAATTAAAAACGAAAATAATAATATAATTAAACCATAATACTAAAACTAATATAAATTCAACCATATTAAACTATTAATAATAATCTAAAATTTACTCATGAGCTAGATAATACTTTTTAGTCTCATATTTATTCTGAATATAATCTATCCATAAGAATCTGAATTTTGAACATGTGACCATGGGGCTGGTGCGACGGTCGGTAAGTGTGAAAACCAGTCCTAAGTCGCTTTCTTTCAGTGCCGTAGTGACTTTGAACGATCACTAAGCGAACTGTTGTGCTGCCTGTATTATCCTGGGCTGATTGGGGACGTTGTCCCCTTGGGCACTTAACCATGGTTCAACCACAGTTAGCAAAATGAATCTGCTCCTTAAGCTACTTGTCAAAGCCTTCTCGGGGGTGACCCCCAATTTCTGGGAAAAAAATCTCTCCCCTCCCTCCGTCTCCCCTTCCCGGGGCAAAGATTTCAGAACCGGGTCATGAAAAATTTCAGTGCAGCCGATAAAAGTTCAGAAACGGGCAGAATCCGTGTGATTTGGTAGCTCACGGGGGCTAAACCAGGATTACAAAGGTGCAGAACTGGAAGATGTAGGCCAGGGGTCTTCAAACTTAGCCCTTTGATGACTTGTGGACTTCAACTCCCAGAATTCCTCAGCCAGGCATGCTGGCTGAGGAATTCTGGGAGTTGAAGTCCGCAAGTCATGAGGGGCCATAGTTTCCCCACGCTGGCTGAGGAATTCTAAGTCCACGAGTCATTAAGGGGCCATAGTTTCCCTCATGCTGGCTGAGGAATTCTGGGAATTGAAGTCCGCAAATCATGAAGAGGCCATAGTTTCCCCCATGCTGGCTGAGGAATTCTGGGAGTTGAAGTCCGCAAGTCATGAAGGGGCCATAGTTTCCCTCATGCTGGCTCAGGAATTCTGGGAGTTGAAATTCTGCAAGTCATGAAGGGACCATAGTTTCCCCCATGCTGGCTGAGGAATTCTGGGAGTTGAAGTCCGCAAGTCATGAAGGGGCCATAGTTTCCCTCATGCTGGCTCAGGAATTCTGGGAGTTCATGAAGGGGCCAAGTTTGAAGACCCCTGATGTAGGTAGTCCTCTGTTTAGTGACCGGCTTCTGGCATTGAAAAAGCAACTTTGCCACCCATCCTCGCATTTACGACCTTCACGGGAGGGGGAGGTGTATAAAGCGAAGGACAAGTGGAAATCAGGATAAGCCCTGTTGTGGATTGACATTTAGTGACAACGACCAAGTTGCCGGTTCCAATGATAGTTGCTAAACGAGGACTACCGGTATCCTTATTTAAGCATTCATTCCCTGCAGTTAAGCACTGGGGAGTGCAAATTAGTGCTTTGCACACCAAATCGTTCGCTCTTCCTAGTACCTGTCCCTCAGCCAGACCGGGTGGCTACAAATCCTTCCAAATTGAAGTCTCTAGCCCTCAGTGTCATCAGTCATCAGCTTCTGCCTCCCAGCCTCCTCTTTTGGCCCCAGGAGGTCATCTAGATGTGTATCAAGCGCACTTCTACTCCAGTGTATGCACTTGGGGGGAACACCTGCAGCCCCCCAAATGCCCGTTTCCACCCCAAAGGAGACAATTCTTTCTGATCTCAGAAGCTTCAACAGGTATAGTCCTCGACTTACGACAGTTCATTTAGTGACCATTCCAAGTTACAACGGCGCTGAACAAAAGTGACTTATGACTGTTTTTCACACTTAGCGACTGTGACCCCCTTTTGCCACCTTCAGACAAACAAAGTCAATGGGGGGGGAAGCCAGGTTGATTTAAAAAACCAGGTTTGCCAGCTTAATAACTGCAGTGATCCACTTAATGACCGTGCCAAGAAAGGTTGTAAAACGGGGCAACGCTCACTTAACAGAGGTTTCGCTTAAGAACAGAAATGTGGGCCTCCATTGTGGTCTAGCTGCAAAGTTGGCTGCCAGCCAAACTACGATTGCATCAAGGAGAACCTTGAGACGCGGTCAGCGCAAAGGTCTGTTCGGCACCTTCTCCGGCCAGTCCTCGGGTTTACGACCCAGAATTAATGGTCCTAAACCATGCTGCTTGTGTACCCTTTGCACGGCTACGCCCAATTCTTAAGGCCTTTTGTGCATTGGTCGTTACGTGGCGGTGATAAAATGAACCCTCTGGTGGTGAAGTCAAGTCACTGGCAGTAATGGGTGGGTTTTTTTCCCCGGAAGCCGGTCCGTCGTACCTTGAAAAGGTCGCTAAGTGAGCGGTTGTAAGTGGAGGACCAGCTGTCCCGTCTCTCTTCCAGGCCTTTGTGCTCTGTCCAGCCGATCGACCTGAACTTCCTGGAGCAGAGCACGGCAGATGGCCCTACCAACAAGATTGAGATCAGCCTGGACTGCATCCGCATGCAGGACTCGGAGCTGGGCGATCCCATGTGGGTGAGTCGGGGGGGCAGGGGGCTCCGGAAGGTGGTGGGGGTGGCTGCTGGGGGTCAAGGCCACGCGGGACCCACTGTTCTCTTGCCCTATGTGGACAGGAAGAGGTTCCTGGGGGCTGGTGGAGAATCCATAGAAGAGGACCTGTGTGTGTATGGGGGGGGGGTCCTTGCTGGTCTTTGATCTTGGTGGGTTTTCTTGGGGGCGTTTCATGGTCCAACTAGGGAATGTTTGTGGGGGGCTGAGGGGGTTTGTGGAGTAGAGGAGGGGTCCTTGGTACTCTCTGGGTTTGGGGGTTTCCTTGCAGACGTTTCATGACCCAACTAGGCAATGTCATCAATGCTAGAAGGGAGGGGGGCTTGCGGAGAGGAGGAGAGAAAGAAAGAAAGAAAGAAAGAAAGAAAGAAAGAAAGAAAGAAAGAAAGAGAGAGAAAAAAGAAAGAAAAAGAAAGAAAGAAAAAAAGAAAAAGAAAGAAAGAAAAAAAGAAAAAAGAAAGAAAAAGAAAGAAAGAAAGAAAGAAAGAAAGAGAAAGAAAGAAAAAGAAAAAAGATAGAAAAAGAAAGAAAGACAGAAAGAAAGGACTGTGGGGTCCTGGGTGCTCTCTGAGCTTGGTGGTTTCCTTGCAGACGTTTCACGACCCAACTAGGCAACATCATCAGTGCTAGAAGGGAGGGGGGCATGGGGAGAGGAGGAGGAGGAGGAGGCAGACTGTGGGGTCGATCCTGTGACCTTGGGGATGCTGCAATGCTTGTAAGTGTGAAAAATGACCCTAAGTCCCTTTTTCCAGTGCCGTTGCAACTTTGGTCACTAAACAAATCATTATAAATTTGAGGACGGCCTATATCTGCACGTGCTCCATCTTTGTTGTTAAGGGAATCCCTGCAGTTGTTAAGTCAGTCACACGGTCGTTAAGTGAATCCATTGACTGTGCTTGTCAGAAGGTCGTAAAAGGGGGATCACAGAATCCCGGGGGGGGGGAAACGCTGCGGCCGTCGTAAGTATGAGTCGGTTGCCAAACGGCCGGATTTTGATCACGGAGATACTGCAACGGTTGTGAAGTCGCTTTTTCCAGTAACTTTGAACAGTCACTAAACGAAGTTGGGGATTCACTGCATTCTTCCTTCCTTTTCTGCTCGTGGGGCCGGTTGTTCAGCCGCCTCAAGGCGAGGGAGGGGGGCGCCCTTCCATCGGTGGAACATGGGCCTCAGACTCCCTGCGCCCCCCCCCCTCCACTCTTGCTCCTCCCAGGCGTGCGGCATTTGTCGTGCGCCCTCGGTTGCCTCTCCGGCGTGTGGCTTTAATCTGCTGTTGACTCAAGAGAGCTCTCGGCCCGTGTGTGTTCTTACACAACTCTGCGGCTCCCTCCCCCCCCCCCCGGCAATGCCCCCTCCCCCTCCTTTCATTCATGCGTCTCTGGAGGTGGCCAGAATGGGGAGGGGACGACTGGGGGGGGGGAACTTTGTGCAAAAGGGGGAAAGTTTATTTTTCTGCCTTTTTGGGGAGTTGTCGAACATCGCTCGACAGGTGTCCGCCCAGCCCAGAGAGGGAGGGAGTTGTGTGTTTGCTTTGCTGTTCCTCGGAAGGGAGTGTGGCGCTGCGCATAGCCCCGGGGAAGGGTTTTTTTTGTGTTGAATCACAAACCCAGCCAGCTTCCTCCACCGCCTCCCCCCCTCCAGCCCCCCCTCCTTGCGCCTAGCCGCAGGGCCAGGCGCCCGGCCAGCACCTGTCTCCCGTGGAGCCCTGCCTGGCGCTGCAGGGGGAGACCCACATTTTGGGGACTTTGGGGAAGGGGGCAACGTCCTGCACAGAAAAAAAGGGAGGGGTCCTGTATCTAGCGCTTGGTTGCTGCGTTGGGCACCCCCAAGAAGGCAAAGAAGTCACCGTGGCGTCCCGAAGCTGGCCGTTAAATCTCCACCTCTTTTGAATATTGTGCTGCGTCTCTCCAGGCTGGGGGTGACCTGGAGCTTTTGTAGTGGGGGGGGGGGTCTGGCCAGTTCCTGTGGCTTTGCATCTGTTTGAGGGTGCAGCTTGGATTTAGGGGGACAAAGTCTCCTGTCCCTGGGTTTCTTGCAAGAGGTTTGCCTGGGTGCAAAAAAGGGTCTCCTTCCTGGAAGGGGTGGGGTTGGACTAGATGACCTACAAGGCCCCTTCCAACTCGGTTATTCTCAAGGCGGACAGTATTTAATTCAAGATGGACAGCATTTAATATTTATTGGTTACGTCTACGTAGGGGTGTGGGCCTGTACATATGTTGTATGTAGTATGTTTAGGTATGTGTTTCACTTGGAGAGCGGGCAGCTAAATTTCATTTTTGATGTGTGCCGTTGTACCCACGGTAAAAAAAAAAATGACAATAAAGGTTATCTTCTATTCGATATGATTCTATAAGACTCAAGAAAGACTAGACAGCCACCTGGCCCTTTGTAGTGTTATTTTTTTAAATATATATTTTTTATATTTTTACTTATTTATTAAACAGAGAGGCCGCCCATCTCTTAAAACAGTGGTTCTCAACCTTTTTAATGCCGCAACCCCCAACCGGTCGTAAGTCGAGGACTACTCAACCGGTCGTAAGTCGAGGACTATTCAACTGGTGCCGCACCATTTGCAGAATGGGACTTTTGGCGGGCTCAGCAGGGCGGAGACAGCCTGGACCATTCCTATTGGCTTTGGAAAGCCAGTAGAATTAGACTCTATTCAAGAGAGTCTATTCTATTGGCTTTCAAAAGCCAATAGAATAAAAGGGAGGAGCACAGCTAAGGAAAAGGGGGGGGGAAATGGCGGACTGCGTTGTTTGGCGACCCCCGTGAAATGGTCGTCCGACCCCAAATGGGGTCCCGACCCACAGGTTGAGAACCACTGTCTTAAAAGGAACAATATTTAGCATTAAAATAGGAAAAAAACAGCTGGGAGTCGCTGATCGGGATATCCTCCTCTTCCAAGGCGAAATGGGAATCGGTTATCCTCTCTGCAACCCTGGTATCTTCCAGTGGCAGGGGACTCCAACTCCCAGAGTTCCCTGCTCTGTGCAGGAGGGGGATTCTGGGATTTGAAGTCCAGGCCTTTGCCAAGAGGTTGGGGGACGGTAAGACGGTGAGGAGAATCTGTTTTGATTCTCCGAGGAATTGCGTCATCCTTTTTTTTATTCTGCTTTTTTTTCCCCCTACGGATTGCGAATTTTGGGAAGTGCTTGAAGCGAGTAACAACTCCCAGAATTCCCCAGCCAGCTTTTCCTGGCTGGGGAATTCTGGGAGTTGCAGTCCACGCCTCTTCAAAAGTTCCCAAGATTGGGAATCCCTGAGCTAGAGGTCAGTTCCCAGTTCTCCTGAGCTGGCCTTGAAAGAGTAACCCGTGTTGCATCAGGACGGGAGACCACGAGGTGATCTCTCCTGAGCTGGCCTTGAAAGAGTAACCCGTGTTGCATCAGGATGGGAGACCACGAGGTGATCTCTCCTGAGCTGGCCTTGAAAGAGTAACCCGTGTTGCATCAGGATGGGAGACCACGAGGTGATCTCTCCTGAGCTGGCCTTGAAAGAGTAACCCGTGTTGCATCAGGATGGGAGACCACGAGGTGATCTCGGACTGAAGAATGGAGCTTGGAAGACCCTCATCCCCAAAGACCACTAAACTGGAAAGAGAGGCTCACAGGGAATTCTGCCCATTGCGGGAAATCCTCAACTTACCAGCATAGTTGAGCCCAAAATTTAGGTCGCTAAGTCGAGACGCTTGTTAAGTGAGTTTTGCCCCGTTTTACGACCTTCCTTGCCCCGGCCGTTAAGCGAATCACTGCCACCGTTAAGTTAGGAACACGGTTGTCGCGTGAACTCGGCTCCCCCTTTGACTTTGCTCGTCAGAAGAGCGCCAAAAGGGGATTATCACGCGACCCCTCCCCTCTTCCCCCCCCGGGGACACTGTGACCGTCATAAATACGAGTCCGTGGCCAAATTTGGATCACGTGGACCACGAGGGGAGGCTGTGACGGTCGTTAAGGGTGAAAAAAAGGGTGACGGTTCCCTTTTTTTGAGCGCCGTCGCGACTTTGAACGGCGGTCACTAAACGAACCGTCGGAAGTCGGAAGAAGAAGAGAGGAGAGGGAGGCCGTGTGCGTGGAAGGAAGAGGATCCTGGCTGATGGCCTCTCGTCTCCTCTCTTTGGGAAGTTTGCAGCAGCCCAGGTTGCGAGGCATCTCCCCCCCCCACCATTCGCACCCGGCCCCCACCCAGGACCCAGCCCCTCGGCTGGGCGTCTGGCTCCCTCCCGTCCCCCGCTCATCTTCCGTGCCACCCCCAGGCGGTCTGGCCTGGTCCAACCAGTTTGACTAAATGCCTTTTTGGGGATAAGCTCCCCGGCTAAATCAACTCCCGGTTTGATCAAATAGGTCTCTCTCTTTTTCTAAGCCACAAAAGGAAGCGGGCTTGGCAGGCGGGGGGGGGGGGGGAACAGGGAGCCAGGAAGGGTGGGTGGGAGGCAGGCTGGCACCCAACAGGGCTGCACCTTCCTCGCCCAGCTCCCTTTGGAGAAGTCTCCAGCCTTTTTGCTCTCCGGGGCTTAAAACCGAACCCAAGATGGAGGCCGTGGCCCCAGCCCTTGACGTGGCACATTCTGGGAGGGTAGGAGCCTGGATGCCAGCCTGGTTGGGAGGGTAGCCAACTGGCAGAGGCCGGCCTTGGGAAAGGTCTGCCCTTTGCCCCAGGGCTAGGTTTGCTGCAGACCCCTTGAGAAGCTGGAGTGTCCTTTGGGGGTGCCTTTCCCAAAAGGGGGAGGGATGATGAATCGGTGGAAGAGTCGGGGGTGCTCCATCAGCAAGAGAAGATTGGATAGCCCTTATTCTAGGATGGTGTAGGGTCTTCTGCTTGGGCGGGGGGCTGGACTAGAGGACCTCCAAGATCCCTTTCAGCCTTAAGATTCTGTGATCTTGGCCAGGGGCTGGACTAGAAGACCTCCAAGGTCCCTCCCAAACCTGTGATTCTGTGATCTTGGCCAGAGGGCTGGACTAGAAGAC